ATATTACAACATCCGACCCTCCTGCATCCTCTGCTACCTACCAGATTTAAGCATTGTCCCAACCTGGAATCCACAACGCACAGCCCCACCTCCCAGGTTGGACTCTCACAATGCTAGAATGCATGTGGAACCCTATATTGTCCATTCCCAGTTCAGAACCCTCTTTTTTTTGTCCCTGGCCCATGTCTATGACAGGCAGCCTACATACAGTACATGGGCAGTCTCCACTGCAGCCAATTTGTAGACTCCGCTTGGCTGCTCCTTGTAATGCCTGGTGAAAGGCAGGGTAAGAGGAATTGCAATGTCTAGATGTGAAGCATCATATACTGCTGGGTCCCACATGAAGCACAGCCCCATCATTCTAAGAAGGAAACAGCAGACATGCTGGAACCAGACTGTCCAGGTTAGAATCTTAGCACCATTACTTACCAACTGTGAAGTTTGGGACTGTACAGTAAATTGCTCTGTGCCTCAGTTTCCTAATCTACAAAGTGGGCCAGTCATGGACTATGGAGGTCCTCGCTGCAAGAATAAAACTGCCTAGCAGGATTTTCCCTTAGTCCAGGCAGTCAGTAAGGGGCTGGACTGAGGCTGTGGCAGGAAGGATGACGATGAGGACCAGAACTTCAAAGCTATCTAGGTCAGACAGTGTGATCCTGTGACCACGGAACCATGGAGGTTACAAGCACAGGAGCAGGATAAAAGGGAAACAGTTAAAGTGGGGTTCAGAGGGACTGGGTGTGTGGCAGGGTGGGTGGTTTTCTGAAAGTTTGCACTATGGAGGAAGATAAGACACAGTGGAGATACGAGTGTGACGGAATTATTTTGCACATATACGGAACCCTCATAGAAGAAGTTAATTTTAAAATTTCTACTGGGCGAATGACTGGCATATTGTGTGAGCATGACAACCTGAATTTGGATTCTCAGAGCTGCGTAAAGAAGGACACTTTAGGTGTCTATAATTCCAGTGCTCCTGTGGAGAGATGAGAGGTAGAGACAGGGATTTCCTGGAAGATTGCAGGCCAAATAGCCTGGCATAGATAGCCATGAACAAGAGCACCCGTCTCAAATGAAATGAGAGGCAAAGACCAACACCCAGGTTTTCCTCTGACTTCCACACATGGGGCATGTATACATCTGCCCACATTTATATATAATACCACCTATGTGGGCACATGCATGCTCGTGTGCACACACATGCACAGATACACTTAGACACTCTTTAAAGCATTCTACTGTATTAAGTATAACCCTCTTTGTTTTCACCACTGTGCTGTGATTACAACCTTCAATTCTATCCAATGCTTAACATCTGTGACCTCACCATTTGACTCACTCACATTCTATTATCCCTATAACATAACAAACTCAGTCTCAGAGAAGCCAAGTGACTTGTTTGAAATCACACAGCACTAAGACTAAGGCAGGGACTTCAAATTTCTGGAAGAATTGTAGGAGTCAGAGGGGTCAAGGACACCAGAATACAGCCCAGAGAACCAGCTAAGCAGGGCTCACAGGGGCTCACAGGGATTGAAGTGACAACCACAGAGCCTAGCCTGCATGGGTCTGCACTAGGTCCTCCACAAATATGTTATGGTTGTTAGCTTGGTGTTTTGTGGGGCCCCTAATAGTGTGGAGTGGGTGTATCTTTGACTCTTTCATCTGCTCTTGGGACCCCTTTCCTCCTAATGGGTTGCCTCACCCAGTAGGGTTTATCCCTAGTCTTATTGTAATGTGCTACACTCTGTTCAGTTGATATCTCTGGGAGGTCTGCTCTTTTCTGAAGGGAAATGGAAGAGGGGTTGGACCTGGAGGAGGGGAGAGGTAGGGAAGGGGTGGAAGAAGGGGGAACTATGGTGGTGATGTATTGCATGAGAGAATAAACAAACCATTCCTGATTTCATCATCTATGCAAACTACCTGCAAATCAGACATAGTCCTGATTCTTCCCTATCAGTTCATCTTAAACACTGCTTCATGTGATCTAGCCCTAGCTAGTACAAGATGTGTCAGACGACCACACCATTTCTCATGGGAGCTCGGAAAATCGATGTGTGCACATTTCGTTTGCACAGTGTGGTTTCTGTGTCTAATTACAATGTTGGAAGTTCCTGCAGGCGCTGACAGACATGTATACAGATATTAGAAGCATGCAGAACACCACTTTAACATAAAAGTGCCGTGCTACAGAAAGAATGACAACTTTTTAACACTTGGGGATGACTTGCCTTGCTGATAGCTAAATGAAATTGGGAGGGGGCATTAGAAAGCTGTAGATAATGTCCAATATTAGTATTACAGGCTACCTGGGAAAGGGGGCACAGTGTAAAATAACACTGTTAAAACCCAGGAGAAGGCTGAAGGTCCAAACCACTGTAAACATTGATTTGACTCAATTGTACAATTTAGAGTGTTCTCACTACTCCAGAGGAGGGGCATTTTCCCAAGGAAAACCACAACAGTGGAATGTAAAATGGAGGGAGAAAGGTCATATTGCTGATGTACCCTGGGCAGAGTTCACTTTCATCTTTGGAGAAATTATTTCCCCTGCTCCTTTCCCCACCCCCCAAATAAAGAAATCTATAAATAATGGTTATCCTGATGAAGCCATCCCAGCTGGATAATGCTAAAAAGCTTTTAGGATGGAAGCAGTAAGTAAATTCAACTGTTGAGATGCATTTGGACGTGATCCTAAGGCAGTAGCCTGGTAATCGCTATGCCATCCCAACTGAAAGGATTGAGACTATTAGATGCGGACAACAGAGAAATAATGGATGTTAAAGAGGACTAGAAACAGCAGTGATTGCATTCACCCACCACAGGGCTTTCAAGCTGGTGACAGGAGTGCAGAGGTTCCACTTTGTAGCTACTGAAGAGTACACACGTGTGCACACACACACACACACACACACACA